GAGAATAACAGATCAGCTTACTTATGCCGGTGGTTCAGTTGTAGGCGATGCTTCGAGGCAAGAAGCTTTATTATGTCCGTTATTGTAGACAGAGCGAAGGAGACGAACTGAATCTATGGAAACCCGCCCTCCTTATATACAGTGCATAATGGGCGGGGCAAGCTACATGATTACATTACTCATATCCGATCAGCCAGCAGATAACGATTTTCAACTTACAAAATGAGTCATGCATCAAAGAACAACCAATAAAATACAAATCGACCACTATCAAATAATAAAAGAATAACATAGCAATCGTAGATCATAGAGAGAAGTCTCTATACTCCCGGCCGAGAAGATGGTTGCTTGCCACTGTTTCATGGAGTTGAAGGAGCGCCTTGGTCAGTCCTGTGATGGGAATCCGTCGATCTCGTTGAGCTACCTCGTCTTCCCCGTCGTCCTCCTCGGTGTATGTCCTGGTCACGTCCGCTGCTGTGTGAGTCACGGCTCATCCTGCTCTCCTCATGTGTCCTGGGGCTATAATGCTCTCTTTGCTGGCGACTCGATACGGCCTTCACTCTTTCAAGTCGTCGTTCCAAGTCTCGCATTTCTCGTTCGACTCGGTCCTCTCTGGCTTGGAGACGCGTTCGTCTTTCCTTCAAATCATCGATCAACCTTGCTGATCCAACTCTTCCTTTACCTTCCTGCCGCTCCTTCTCGATTGAGTTGTTCACTTCGAGCAACGCGTCCCTCGCCTCCCTCAGCTCTCGCTCCGTTTCTCCCATCTGGTGCAAAATCCTCTCCATTTCGGGAGAGGGCTCCACCGGGGCACTTGATCGTGCGTTTCTGCCGATCACGTTCGTGGAACTCATTTCGCTCAGTGTGCACAAGGCACTGACGTCGGTAAAGAGCTGCGGGATGTTCAATGCGTCGACCTTCGAGTGCAATCCTTCTATCTCTTCTTGGATTTCTTTTGGAGTTTCCATCTGATTGAGACGAGCCATGACTACGTCCATCTTGAGTACCAGTTTGTCGACCTTGGCTGGTGGGGTTGCGGCGGTAACTTCCGTTTCAGTGGTAGCAGATGACATCTTCTTCGGCTTGTCCATTGCTAAAAATGCGAAACTACAGAAGGAAAGAAGAATAATAGTAAGAGGTGTCCAAGCGGCAGGTAAAATCTGGATCGAACAGAAGTTTCAAAGCAGTTTTTCCAGTCCCTTCTTTGGTTGTTGAGACGCGGGATAAATGGTCGTCCAGACCGTTGCGATAGTCCACATGGTGATGCGTAAAAAACCTTTGGCTATCTTCAAAGGTAATTTGAGTATCTTCATTGCGATGGTTAATCCGTAGGTCCAGATAAATACGTATCCCACAAACAGTGCGAGGATGAGTATGATGCCTGCTGTGATAACAGTCTTATACCAGTGAAGAATGACGTCGACAATGTGTCCGAAGTCTGGAAATACCAGCTCGTTGTACACGTTGCTTTCACCGTTAATGACCTTCATTGTTGATCCGTGAATTGTCCGAACCCACTGGAGGATTCCTGTTATTTCGAAACACCTTTCAGCATCTCCGCATGAAACATTACATCTCTTCATCAATCTTGCTGAGCTGTGCGTGAAACGCAAAGTAGAGGTATACCCTTCTTTGTGACACGGAACTGTGAAGGTCTGGTCATCGCATGTAATCGTAGCCATGGTATTGTCTCCGTTTGTAGTGCACGTTACTTTTGCAGATGCTCCTTGTAGACATTGGTAACATCCTTTCGCCACGGAATCAGGAACAGTGCAGATCGAATTGGTTATTACTCTGATGGTTTTGTCGAACTCTTCTTTCAGATGTATGAGGAGCTCCGCTGTTGTAAATGAAGGAATCTGTGCCACGACTGCAGTTGAATCTTCCTTTGCTGTGGTGAAGGTTATCCAGGGACGTCGTATTGGAAAACGATTTTCGATCTCCTTCGAAAAAACGTTCGTGATTTTGAAGTCGGTGCACATGCAGTTCACTTTGTCTTCTGCCGGTTCACAATCGCAGTCCGTGGTAACGGAGCAGTTGAGCGAATTGGCATTGTCTTCTGATTCGCAAATGAGATGAGGCCTTTCCTTGTGAGTCCAAATGGCCACTTCTGAGCCGACGGAGATGAAAGACGATGACAGTGCCGGAGTTGGTGGGAAGGAGAGGCTGGTGAGAGTGATTCGCATCCCGTTCAGCTTTAAGGGCACGGTAGGTCGTACTCTTATCGTCTGCTTGTCGGTCGTTTTTGTAGAGGTGGTCGTAATCTCCAGCTCCAGTTCTTCCTTCCATTGAGAACATTTGAAGATTTCGTATACGTTCTCATCCTGTGGTACATGGAAAATTCGATAGAAAAGACAACCACTACTGGGAGTGATGCATCCACATCCGATTCCTCCACAGCTTTCCACACATTTGGTGATGCCAGGAAACTGATTAGCCTGCGCGAGTTCCGTGACAAGTGAGGACTCGTTGATAGATGCGCATTTGTCTTCAATGCATGACCCCCAGCGGGCGCATCGTTTGGAGTCTACCACCCTTTGCAGAGTATTTCGAGTGAATGCTATCGTTTCCTTGGCGCAAACCAGTCGCAGTCCTTTCCACTGAATCCTTATTTCCTTTTCAACTGACTGCTGGTTGGTAAGGCGGATGCATGCGTCTTGACTAAAGCTGTTGAGTTTCACCAGTTCCGTGGTTTCCAGAGCACACTTTTTAATCCCCTTTGCTGACAACGTGCAGATGGAGTCGCGGTAGAAAAACACGTCGATGTCTTGACAAGCGTATGAACTTCGGGCTAATGCGATCATGCAGATGATAGCCAGAAGTGGTGCTCTCAGTAGCGCTTCCACATCGTAGCGCCTTCTTCTATTGGTTGGCCATTTGCAACAGATCTTCCATAGGAGGTATCCTATGGCTTTGCACATTGTCCAAACCGCCTTGCTAATAATTCTACATGGCTTTCCAATCACCATCGGTACAAAGCACAGCGCGTAGAGTGACGCGATTAATATGTACAGTGTGATGGTGATTGCAGCAATGGCTGTTCGAGGTGAGCACTCGGGGTTGAAGATGTTAGCTGTACAGAACCAGCATCGAATGTGATCGCAGAATAATTCAGGTGGACATGAGGTTTCCAACACAGTGAAGTTTTGCCCATCGAAAAGCTTCAACTGAACATTGTGCTCGTGCAGAAGTACTTCCGGTGGAAAGAGAATTGTTTCATTCCCTTGCGGCCGTTCTTTCACATAACAGTGATGCTCAGCGCAAACTTCATAACGCTCGATGTTACGAATAGTTATCGAAACTCCTCCAGGTAGGCATGACATCTGTCCAATTGCAGTGGCTGTCGGAGTAACTCCTGCTGTCAGCATGATGACTGTTATACAGGCTAACAGGGATTTTACTGGGATACTTCTCATAGTAGAAGAACGAATCGTTGCGCAATGAACAGGATCTTCGCTGTAGTTCACGCGTTTACGTGGTCTCAGCTCATATCGCGGTTTTGACTCCGGCTCTTCTAGATTTCTCCTCGTTTTCTGTGACTCGGCGGTAGAAGGTGAAGGCTCGTTCCTTGTGTCTTCCAATTCGAGCGGAAACAGAGCGTTGACTGGTCTCCTAACGATATGTCCACTTGGCAACTTCAGCTGCACTTCCCTAATTTTCTCGGTGTTTGAATTGGATATGCTGACGATTCTGCCTAGTTTCCACAAATTCCTTGGAACACTAGGGTCTGAGATCAGCACAACCTGACCAGGTGAGGGATGTGTTGCTGAGCTGCGTTTGTTGTCCATTGAAAACTTGTGGGATTCTCGAAGGCTGCTGAGGTAGTGTTGACTCCATACCTCCCAGAATCGCTCTGTCAGTTGATGGCTGGACTTGAGGGCATCTTCAGCCTGTTTGCGCGTCCTCAGTTGAATTTCTTCATTGGGTGGGTGATAGGTGTCGTCCTCAGTTTCGTCTTGGATCGATTCGAATGGATATGTTACATTCATATCGCGCTGAATGAAATCTATTGGTCGGAGAAGTGGAGTGTCTTCCCACTGCTCTTCTTGGTACGTCAAAGGTCGGCTATTGAGGGTTCCTTCCACTTCAATCAAGAGCGTCTCTAGTGTCTCCACGGACACGACTTCACGTTGCATGACTTTGTATAGAGAATGCTTCACGGATTTGATTAAGCGTTCATAGAAGGCTCCCTGCCACGGAGCGTATGGTGTGATTGTTTTCCAAGCAATTCCCTTCGCTGCCATTGTACTCGCAACTGTGACGTCGTTTATGAGAGGAAGCACTGCATCACGAAGTATCTGTTCGCCTAACAAAAAGGACGGGCCGTTATCTGAAGTGATGCTTGCTGGAACACCTCTTCTTGCAAAGAACCTGCGCAGAGCATTCAGCAGTTGAATCGTTGACATGTCTGGCACGAGCTCTAGGTGTAGCAGACGCGTGACCATACATGTGATGATTATTCCGTAGACTTTGGTGTGCACGTCGTTTTGTTTTGCTGCTATCGGCCCAAAATAGTCTATCCCTACGTGATTAAAGGGACGAGTTCGCTGCACACGTCGGTTTGGTAGGTCGTCCATCTCCGGATACTTGAACGGAAGGCTGTTCAGCCTTTGACAAGGCACACACACTCGTAACACTTGTTTTACCAGTTGTCGTACTTTCGGAATCCAAAAGCGTTGTCTGACGTTGGCGATCGTCTGTGCAGTACTGCAGTGGTATGGAAGATGCGCGTCCTTCACCACTGCTTTCGCAAAATCCGTCTTAGAAGCAATTAACATCGGGTGCTTAGTGTCGAAGGCCATGTGCGCATTCCCTAAACGACCTTGACATCGTATAATCCCAAATTCATCTCGTCGTATGTTGAGCTGTTTCAATGCCTTCAGCTGTTCCTCCGTAAAATAAGATTGCTGGTGATGTCGAACGAGCACACGTAGAGCCATCTCATTTTCTTCAGCTGTAACGTACGCTTCAGTTGTCATATGGTTGAGCTCTGGAATACTGCTTTCAAGTCGCCTCCTCAGATCCGCGTCCACCTTCAGCGAGAGTCCATGTATGAATCGCAGAACGTACGCCAAAGTCCTCTTAGCGGAAGGCAGGCGATTGTGCCTAGACCAGTCCAGTAGCTCCGACGAAGACGTTGTAGCTGTTGTGACTGAGCATGACTGCGCATCAGGAAGGGCAAACATTCGACATTCCTTTGGCCAGTTTGGTGGCCATCTTAGGAACTCTGGTCCATGCCACCAAATGTGCCCTTCAAGCTCTGTCTTGGTGAGCCCTCTAGTTCCGCAGTCCGACGGATTGTTGATTGTGTTCACGTACCCGAATTGAACTGAGGTACGAAACTCGTCACAAATTCGTCTTATCTCAGCAACTCTATTTCTCACGAGAACTCCCACAGATTTCTCCAAAGTCGGCGCCTTGATCCAGCATAGAGCTATTTCTGAGTCGGAAAAAATGCACACTTGGTCAACCTTGACTCGATGACTAATGGCTGTGTATATTGAGTACGCTAGCCTCGTGGCCATGGTAACAGCGTTAAGCTCCAACTTCGGAATAGTTGGATTGTCCTTCAAGGATGGAAGTTTGGACTTTCCAGCTATGAGATGACTGCCTGTTTCGGAGACTAGGTATGCACAGGTTGCCATTCCATTCGAACTAGCATCCGCAAAGAGAACAAGAGTCACATTCGTGTTGATGTGAGCCACTTTCCTTGGAAGGGAGAGCTCAAATCCGTCTGCTCCGTCAATGATGTTCTTCCACTCTTGCTTGTGTTCGTCGGATAGTGGAGCATCCCAATCGTAGCTAAATTTCCAGAGCTGCTGTAGAAACTGCTTCCCTCGGAGAGTGAGAGGTGTAAGCAGCCCTAATGGATCATATATCGATGCCACTTGTTCCGAGATAGACCTCTTTGTTAGCATCCCTGAGCTATCTCGATAATGACATGATAGAAGAAGTTCATCGCTGTTGGATTGCCACGGTATGCCAAGAACCTTTTGGAGTGCTTTGGCGCTGAGGTCCGTTGGCGCAATATGCCCGTTGACAGTTTCATCGTTCGAGCGGAACTCTCGTAAGTTCATTCGGAGGTCGTTGAAGAGTTGTTTGGAATCCGTGTAGAACTGCAACGCCTCTTCCTCAGATGATGTCGTCACAATGATGTTATCCACGTAGGTGTTGCCCGCTATTTCGCTTGCCAGTTTGGAATCCTTCAGGCATGTTTCCAGGTGATGCTTAATCGTTCCAGCCAAGAGAAATGGTGAACAGTTGAGTCCAAACGTTACTCTCGTAAATCTGTAGGTGACTGTATTAGCCGGGGTTAATGGTTGAGTGATGTCGCGTAGCCAGAGAAATCTTGTGGCGTCTCTATCATACGAGTGCAGGTGGACTTGCAAAAATGCTTTTTCGACATCACTGATAATCGCGACGCGTCCAATTCGAAAGCGAAGTAAGATGTCGCAGATTCTCGGCAATATGACTGGTCCTGGATAGAGGACGTCATTGAGGGATGGTGCTCCTTTCAGGTGCGCAGAAGCATCGAAGACTACTCTGAGTTTGGTGGTTTCCTTATGTGGTGTGAGAACAGCATGGTGAGCGAGGTAGTGAACGATGGAACCGGGATTGTGGCTGTTCTCGTTGACTTCTTCAATGATTCCCTGCTGAAGTTGACCGTCGATCGTGTCTTGGTACTGTTGCAATGTAGCAGGTTCCTTCGAAAGCTTTGCTATTGTGGCCTGAAGTCTCCGTATAGCAATGGCTTTGTTATCTGGGAGCTTTTTGGCGTCTTCCTTCCAGGGGAACCTTACGTAGTACCCGTCTTCTCTTTTTTCGATCGTTTGCTCGAATGTTTTCCAGACTTGTCTGTCCAAGTTCTTGCGCTCTTCGACACTTGGCCCAGTGAACTCATGAACGCCGGTCGACTCAAACGTACAGAACTGTTCCCAGGTTTGTGCTTCCTCAATGGTATCTGATGTAGTCGTCATGACTTCTGTGTCGACGTGTGACTGTTCTGTCATTTTCTTTTCTGGGACCGTTTCATATCCGGACACAAGATATCCTAGCTTGGAAGGAATAAGTGTCAGCCCTGAAGGCAGAGTCTTCTGCTTTGCTAAGCCCCCTTCGAGGAATGGATAGAGGTCTGCACATCCAAGGAGAACTTGTGGTTTGAGCTCCATGATATCCGCGTTTATGGACAAGCGGATATTGTTCTCATACAGGAATCGTCTGTCCTCTTCGCTGAGCCTGCGCCTCAATATTGGTTCCGTGACAGTTTCGATTTTCGTGACTGTTACTCTGTGAGATTGTCCGTAAGTATCCCACATTTGAAGTTGTGTGATTCCGCATGTTCGCTGGAGAGGCTGCCTGGAGCCAAATGTGTTGATCGTCAACTTAGTCGAGCTGATATCTCGCAGTTGCAACCGATCCGCCAGCTCATTGCAGATGAACGAACGGTCCGCTCCAGTGTCTAGCAGGACATGAATCGATTCCAGAGCTTGATCCTTCGGGTTCAGCACTTGCGCTTGCCCTACGAGGATGTGGACGTCAGCGATGCTCCGCTGAAGATTGACGAAGGCAGCTGCGTTTGGCACCTCATCGAAGGCTTGTTGAGGCTCCGATACAACCGTGTTCATCTTTGACGAAGTTGAAGATTTCTGAACTGTGCGCTTTGGAGTGCTTTTATTCGATGTCGAAGGCGGTTTCCTGCTTTCGCGGGTTGCAGATGGTGTCTTTGTCAGCGAAGAGAGTTGCTGGCAAAGAGACGTGTGATGGCCGTGCTTTCTGCACAATCGGCATGATCCTCCTCTGCACTGCTCTGCCCAATGTTCTCCAGAGCCACAGTTGAGACATAGATTTCGTTTTCGCATGAATGTCAGTCGCTCTTCACGTGTAGCTATTTCGCTGCAGTCTTTCGCTGAATGGTCTCCTTTTCCACAATAGAAGCAGGAGTCTTGACGTTTCGAAGATGAAATGATTCTTCGCCCTGCACGGGGATTCCTCCTGTCAATTGCGGGTTCTTGCGTCGACCTCTGATCATGCGTTTCACCAACACGAGTGGCAATCTTGAGTTCCGTCCTGATGTATTCCTTCGCACAATTGAGAAGCGTGGTAGTGTTCCATATGTCGTTTGGTAACTGCTGTTCCTTGGTCCGTAAGACATGGCGCTGTATCCCTTTCGTGAATTTCCCAAGGAGCTGATCTTGCAAGAAGCAATTGTCAACGTTCTCTCCTTTTAGATGGAGCTGCGATACAATTGACGACAGTTCTTCCAGAAGTTTTTCTTGGTGCTCCAAGCGTTCGCTGTGTGCTCGAGCTCTTTGCAGTCTGCGTACCATGTGGCTTACAAGAGCCTGCGAGTTTCCATACTTTTCTTTCAAGTGAGCGATGACGAGTGGATAAGTGCGACCAGATACCTCGAACTGCTTTACAGTTTCCCTAGCCTCGCCTTGAAGCGCATCAAGGAGATAATTCATCTTATATAGATCGTCCATTTCCCGAGAATCCACAGAATGTTTGAAAGCTCCCCAGAAGGTGTCCCATTCCCAGATGCGACCACTAAATTTTGGAATTGGAATTGGTGCCAACTGCATTTGAGGCGATTCTGAGGAGTTTATGTGAACGGTATTGATCGATGCCTCCTCTATCTCGTCAAGCTCCTCTAGGAAGTGTGCCATAGTGGTCAGCATCGTGCGTCCCTTATCCAAGGTAGTTGCCGCTGTTTCGATATTGGAGTTGACCTTCTTGAGGATTTCCTCCAAGGATGGAGTGTCACTGTCCAAGCCGTCGGCTGCACTGCTATAACGTTCCAAGGCGTTGTCAACATTGAGCGTTTCAGATTCCAGAATGGCTTTTGCCTTCCGAAACTTCAAACGCTCCCCTCTTACATACGTTCTCCGTTCCGCCTCTTCGAGTGGAGGCTGTAGAGTCGTCGTTGTCCAGTCCTTGTTGGCCTCTAGAGTGCTAGCGAGCTTGTTCACTGCTCTTGTTAGCAGTCCTTGCCTAGTGGATAGCGTAGTGGCCATATTGGTTTCGTTGATTCTCTCGACTTATCCAGAATCTGTACGGACAACACAATTTAGTAGTTTCGTTCTTGACCGCTCTTCTGCAGCGAATCCTTGATCGATCCTCGGCGAGTCCTTGATTGATCCTTGACAGTGTCCTCGATTGATCCTTGACTCCTCGGCTTCGTTCGCTCAGGCTCGATGCACCATATGCCGGTGGTTCAGTTGTAGGCGATGCTTCGAGGCAAGAAGCTTTATTATGTCCGTTATTGTAGACAGAGCGAAGGAGACGAACTGAATCTATGGAAACCCGCCCTCCTTATATACAGTGCATAATGGGCGGGGCAAGCTACATGATTACATTACTCATATCCGATCAGCCAGCAGATAACGATTTTCAACTTACAAAATGAGTCATGCATCAAAGAACAACCAATAAAATACAAATCGACCACTATCAAATAATAAAAGAATAACATAGCAATCGTAGATCATAGAGAGAAGTCTCTATACCGGCGAAGACTTTTGACCGCTACTGTATATGCGCCACATAAAGCAGTTACTTGGCTGCCATGGAGCGAGATGTGGCGCTTCACGGAGAAAGGTGCGCTGGTTGCTGAGCAGGACTTCGAAAGCACTCCGCCCCAAAAGCGATCCGCCCACTAGGTTAGAGTGGTGATTGGACGAGTTGCGTTGCCAGCAACGGCAATCGCTGAAGCAATCAAATGGAGCGCATTGGCATGATGCCATCAAACGCGTTGCGGTCATTCAT